CTCGTGATGTATCGATGCTAGAGACTTGATTTTACCACCATTCGACGCGTCTCGATGAGAGGATTCCAACGAGCTATGGCTCGTCCTTGTACGATCACTGGATGGTCGTGTATTCATTTTTTCGCATTTTTCTTAATTTCGGATAAAACTGAACCGAACCGGACGGTTCCGGTTCGGTTCCATTTCGGTTTTTGGTTCTCCCGAACCGCAAAAAACCGAACTGAACCAACCCGTTCAGAGCTTTAGAAGTATTTCAGGCGAAATACCAAGACACTAAAAGTGTTCCAAAAACACCAAAAGACTTAGTGGTCATGGACGAATGCGGTCTCTCTACTCACGGGTTCTGGATTTACTCGTTTCATATACAGGCACCATTATTTACATTTAAGGGTTATGAAGAAGCATCTTTGTTTCTTGATAACGTAGTCCAGCGTGTACCAAAACAGGTTCATCAATCCATTTTTCTTCCTTATAGTCCCCACGTACAGTACATTCGTATACTCGGCTCCACGTTTAAAGATAACCCTAGACACAAAAAAATTTCGCCATATAGTCATCTTTTTGGAACAACTACTGATCTTCATCAAAACGCATTATTTGTCAACCATTTTCTTGCCAGTAATGTCTCGCAAGTTATGGACAAGAAAAGAGATAAATCTTCTGGATGCTGCGCTGTTCCTTGAAGAGACGAATACAGTGGACTAGATAGAGAAAATATCTCAAGCCAAGTTAACGAGGACACCTGTAACCAGAATGGCAATCACTTTACAGAAGAGATTGCTGACCTTCCTGTCACTGGAATGCAAAAGGCTAGACATGGCAGTGTTGTATCTGAGGACGCCCATTACCATTCGCATAACAATGATATTCATGAAATAGGAGAAGATAATGACACTGACCCGTCCAAGTTAGCAACGCATGACTCTGTTATCAAATTGGGAGGGGATATTAAGCAAGTTGGTGCTCTTGAAACAGAAAAACAAATCATAAAAAATGGCAGAACAATAGCCACTAGCGTTCTTCAGACCTCTAGTCATGACCAACCTAGTAAAATAACAGATACTAATAAAAGTAGTCCTAGAGAGGTGCATATGTCAGAATCAGTAGCAATACAAACCTGCACAAATACCTGGAAGACATTCTTAAGGAATACATATAATCGTGGTAATATAGACTCGGTTGGTTCGGCTAGCAGCAGTACAATGATCTGTAGAGGTGTAAGAATTCAATCAAGAATGAAAATATGTATAGTACAGTTTTCAGGTATGAGTGTTCGAGATAATAAGGACTCACCAGAAACGGGTTCCCCACCTCCGGCTTTTATTAATAAAACTCTGCTTTGTAGAGTCATCCTAGCATGTGTTTTACTGTTAGCAGAAAGAGTGAACTACTGTAAAAGGCACGTTGTAGAAATTCACCCTAACTGTCATCTATGACAAATGAATGCGTCCGAACCCTTTCAAGGAACTCTTGCGAAACCCTCGACACATTATAATTCGAAATCTCAGAAATCTTGGCAGTATGCGGAACTTTTGGGTGAAAAATCACAACATGTTTCATCGGCTAACGAAAAAAATCTTAATGAGCATTGTGCTTATTTATTAAAAAGAAAGCATTACGCACATTTCATCTCAGAACAGTCAGGAAGGGTCCCTCTATTTCGAATGAGTTTATCCCCCTGTCGGCAAAAAATCCTTCTAGAGAGGTGTTCATCCGGGAACTCATCAATGGAATCAATAGAATCCAAAAGAGATATAACAAAATAGTGCTGAAATGGTTCACAATAAGGGAGTTAGACATGCATACCCTCGTTTCTTCAATCAAACGCTTGATTCCGTTCTTTCCTGGTCTGAGAGTCTCCTTTCCCAACTAGCCTCACGTATCTATTGTCATGACCTTCTAGTACGTCGGACGGTAAAATCAAAGAAATTGTTATATTCGTACGGCAAAGCCTATTTGAGCAACTAAGGCACAGAAGTGAGAATACGTTTACTATGAAATATGGGGTTATAGTTTAACAGAAAATAGGGGCATAGGTTCCACAAAAAATATGGGGTTTTTGTGTCTGTCAGAAAAGATGAGCACAGCGAGCCCAGTGTACGTTGTAATAAAACTATTTCATTTGTCCGTCAAAGGAAGTAGATGTACATCCCAGAACAAGTTAATCGCCAAATTTGACCGATAATCTCTATCTCCCGTAACTCGACCATGCTCTACCGCAGACACACTTGTATAACTAAAATACATGATCAGACGAATTCAGAGAGACGGATGTCCCGCAATAACAATTTTGTTTGTAGCACAATGTATCATTAACTAGAATAGAGATTATGGTTTGTCCAATCATATTTGTAAGACATGCTACATGATACAACTATTCTACTTTTGTTTACTCTCGAATCCATGGCAAACTGTTATGGTAAACTATTATTTCGTTATTTCTTAACTTTGTAATGAAATGTGAACATAGTAGAACGACGGGAAACGTCAGTATCTCATGTTTTAGTGGAAGGCACGATCAACGGCCAAGAATTATTTGTTGAACAAAAGGTATGGTGAAGTTACGAAAATCAGCCCAGACTCATAATGATAAGATATTACGTGTACTTAGGAAAAATAGCAAGAAAATTAGTTGAACGTTGTAGCCATAGATACTGAAGTAATCGCATAATATGGAGGAATAATATGGAATAAAAGATCAAACGATAGAAAGTCACATGATTGGATAAAATTAACCGGAAAGGATAAACTTTTAGGAGAAGGAATGATCTACATGATGTAATGTTTATTAAATGATTAACGGAGAACCAATAGATCAAGTGGGGGGTTGATCGATGTGGCTCAGAAACCAGTTTATCAAGTTCAACAATAGGAACAATTAGGAGGAGTAATCATAAGCCACAAATGATAAATCATATAAAAAGGAAGGATAGCGAATTAAAGGAACAAAAAAAATAGGAACATGTAAA